AATACAGTAACAGTTCAACTCTGCTTTTACTTTGTGTGTGTTTGTTTTTAAAGCGTTTTCTTTTTATTGACATACACTTCATTCTTTCTTTAAAAGCAGAAGGTGTTTCTTTTGTCGTTTTCTTCTTTGCTTTTTTTTTGGTCATTCTGTTTTTAATCCCTCTTATTTGCATCTCTATGAGTTCTTGGGCTTTTTTTCCCCTTTGAGTTCTCTCTCTTGTTGAATACAAATATATGCCTGTGAATCCATCTGTTAATGCAACCCCGGATGTTTTGGTTTAGGCTCTGTTAAAAGAGTAGTTTTAACTTTGCATTCTTAAGTATGTTATGGTTTGTTGGTTTGGGTTTTTTTTGCTTGTTTGTTTGTTTGGGTTTTTTCTTAATTAGCAGGAGCATCTACTGAAATACAAGAAGAGGTTAATTAAGGATGACTGAAAATATGGCCTCATAAACTCTGAAGTATGATGTTTTCTAGATAATATATTTTTATTATTTTTATCCATGTGAAACTTAATAATCTCAGTTTATAGGTAATCTTATCATTACCTGTGAATTTCTGTATATTAGAGTAATAATCTAAAGAATGTCTTGGAAGTATGTTTGTTATTGAGATTATTGCAAAATATTAGTGCAGATGTAATTACTGCCTATGAAGTCAAGAGATGAATAATTTACCAGTTCAGCCTTCTTGTCTCTAAATCAATTTTTTTCATTCCTGCCTTTGACAATAGCCCTGTTAAAATTATCAGTCAGAACTTTAACGTGCTTTTCCCTTCAGTATACAAAGGCCTTGCGTTTGAGAATTAGGCTAATGACTTAGATTCAGCTGTTGATGATCAATAAAATATAGTTATTGGTCAACTAGGGGTAGACTTGGTGGATATACTGTATTTTCTTTGTGTAATGTGGGGGCTTAACATCATGTCTATAGTACCTTCATTAGTACTGACGAGGGTTACTTTTTTTAAACCAAGTAATTGATGGCAGCCTAGCAAAATTTGTGCTTTGCTTCTTAAAGGGATTATATTAAGGATGACTGATAATTGGAATGTGTTTTTTTTCTGTGATTTTCTGTATTTCTCTTTTCCATATCCCTTCTTTCTAGCTTTCATATGAGAAGAGAAGATTTTCTTCTAGCTAAATGTGGTGGGATTATCAAATTTGTAAATTCAGTTTATGATCACAAATCACTAGATGGCAGTATTGCTGTTATTTTCACCTAACTTCACATGCTCCAGTTTGCCTGTCTCAGAGTTTCATCTTTGTCCCTTCAATTTAGTGATACAAGATGGTCTAGTCTGAAAAAAAGCACAGTAGTCACTTCCTTCAGAAGTTAGGCTGAATTTTCAGGTGCTCACTGCTGCAAATTGTGTGCTTATGGCATGGACTATGAAGAATTATTACCATTTACTTATTTAAATCCCTGAAAAGACAGTCCAGTTCCACAGCCAGCAGTCATTAAGGATTCATAGGCTGATTTTATGGGGGAACTTTTCTCTGAGACTCATCAAAGGGAGGTTGGAGACCCTCACTGGAAACTTTCCTGAGGACTGAACACTGCTGAAGTCTGTGGATTGCTTGTGTTTTTCCCCTCCATGTTATTCTTTCACCTTAGTGCTTCCCTGCTTCCCTGTTTCTCACATATAACTGGTTTATATAGGCCATTTAGATTCCAGTGTTAAGCCATACAGCCTGTAGGATCAGTTTTAACGATACGGAGTGCTGGATTCTTGCAACACGTTGAGCTATTGGCTTCCAATTACATCTGTTGTACTGCTTGTTTTCCTGCAGTGTGTTTCCTACTGCCATGTCTTACTCCTTAGCTGTAGTTTAAAAAAAAATTGTATGTTTTTTGATGCAGCACATGCAAACTGCAACTGGCTTATGTTGAGGAGTGAGTGTATAGAAAGCTATAATTTTTTCAGGCTTCATGTTAGTACCTAACAGGTCAGGATTTCAGGATGAGGTAGATGGTTATGTGAGGGGATGGGTAAGCTACAGGGGAAAAAATATGGGAGCATTTGGACTTTGGGGTTCTGTAATTGACATGGGCATGGGTAAATGAAAAGGGAAAATAGTGAAGCAAAAAGCTGAGAGTAGGAGGAAAATACTGCAGGCTATTGTGATTGTGCTACTTGAGAGAAAGAAGGAATTTGTCTAGTCTTCCAGCAGAATGCAGGGGAGAGGTCGTCTTTCCCCCAGCTAGTGGCAAAACTTGTAGTGATTATAGTGGTCAATATATTAAAGAGTAGGAGGTGTATTGGGGTCAAAAGATGAAATTTAAGCCAGAACAAAAGTATGCTTCTGACTGGGCTTCACTCTGAGGCTGTCTGGCTTGCTGGGATGCATTGCCTAGGGGTGCATACCTGGACTTGAAAAAATATATAAGGGAATGGAAATAAACCTTACAACTGACAGGATTCCCCTCTCAACCTTTTGCCTCTTGGCCAGATTCTTAGCTTTCCCAGAGAGGCTTACAAGGGAGAGGAGAAAACGTGAAACTGCTATTCTTTTGCCTTTACTTTTTTTAAATTCAGATTTTGTCAGTTCCATGACAGTTTCTATCATTATATTCCAGCAACTAAGTGATAATTCTTGCAAGTTTTGGATTGCTGTTTCCATTTAATGCTTGCTGCACTTTTCTCATTGTAAAGTTAATAGAGAAAGGCAAATACAGAGTTACTTATATTTCTGCTAATCCCTACACTTTCAGGATGCTAACCGAGTTACTTTTCAGGGGGTTGTTCCCTGCTCCCCCCTCATTCCTCTTCCAACCCTTGCCACCTTCGCCACCCTGGAAAAGAAAAAAACAAAACAAAACAAACAAACAAACAAAAAAACCAACAACAACTCAATGAAGTTTTGAAAAAACTTTGTATGGAGCTTTTCAAAAGCCAATTTGTGGAACCTTGTCAGTTGTTCTACATGGCTGTGGTATTTAAGTAGTAAGCACCTCTTAGCAGTTTTTACTCATGGCAATAGTTGAAATCAAGCAGCAGATGAAAAGAGCCTTGATAAAATAAAATGTTTCTTGGAGGTTTTCATTCATGGCTATTTTAGTTGCACAAACATGCTTTGCAGTGTACCACTGGAAGAAGAATGACTTTAGAAATATTTTTATGAGGGGGAATGTAAACTCCTGTTGCTTGAGACAAAATCTTGTTGCACGTTCTTGCAGTCAGCGAGGATTAATGTAAGGCTGCACGGTTCCTTTGTAAGGGATGATGAGAAATACTTACTCTGTCAGGACAGTCTGTTCCCCACCAGATTACTGGCCCTTTCATCCCATCTGAAGAGAAGCTTTGAAATGAATTGTAGAGGTGCTGAGAACCTAGCATCCCTCTGTCGTAAGAGTTTTCATGAAGAGTGCTGCACACAAACCACGTTTACTTTCTTTCTGAAGCTAGGCTGAGACTTATAATGTTGAATGACATGCTAGGTTCTCAGAGGAACTATAATTTCTCCAGTGTGATTCTGACACTTTCATTTGTTCTTTAGACTTCGTAAGCCTGTGAAGGCAAGCATTGACACCTTGCTTTTCGTATTTTTCAATTTAGTAATAGCAATAATTTTTTCCCCCATATTAGTATATGCATTTAAAACAACCATGAGGCAGTAACGTTTGGGTTTTTTTTTGAAGTGAGGAAAACCCCTATATATTTGTCAGTGGTATTCTTTTTATATATGTGGGTGGTTTTGGCACATAATCTAAGACTTTTCCTTTGTAAATTGTTAGAGAATAAACTGTCAGTCCTCCTGTAATAAACTGCTGATGTAATGGATATGGTGGAAAATGCTTAAGTCTGTCTGTTTGTCATACATGTAATTACTTTATACAGGATTTTACTTTCATTTAAGTGTCCTCAAGAATTATTAGTTTATGGAGTGGTATGAATTCTTGCTGTCTTGTTTACCAGACCTGGGAGGAAGCGGAGTTGTTAGGTGCCTCTGCAGTGAAAAGCAAAAATATCCAGGTGTTCCTGAAAGTCTTGATTTTTTCCCCGGTCTCCTATTTTTCTTCTAATACCTTCTACACTGATCTAAGATTTTAAAATAAGCATATAGTTTTACTTTTCCACGAGTAGGGTACTTTAAATATGTACTCAAAAGATGTTAAAAGGTATTTCCAGCATCACCTGGCCTGCAAAATGAAAGCCAGAGTTTTCAATTACTGTTACTTCTGGTAGTGTCAGCAGAGCAGTATGGTATTTGGATTTTACAGGGATTGTCTGTATGAGAAGCTTGTCCTGTGTAAGTTAATTTCAGTGTATCTGCGTTGAAATTGTATTTGGCTGGTTTCATTTGGCTTTTTCTGGAGTCTTATTTATCTCACACCAGAACACTCTACTGTAAGGAGGACAGGGTCGTGGTTAGAGCTTCGGGACTCTGGGCCGTTGTCAGCTGTGCAGTGGTACACCGAAGACCACAGGTCACAGTCTGCAGCAGGGTGTCTGCCCTCGGTGGTGATGCTCAGGAGCATCTGAAGAGCAGAAGCCCGAGAGGTGAAGTCCTTGGGTAGTCGTGGTTCTTGCTGCCAGGAGAGGGAGCCGTTGGGACTCCGTCTTGCCACGTTTTGCATCCTGTCGTGCCGGGTCCCTGCGTGAGCGGCTGCGGCTCAATAATGCAGCGAAATACTACCCCGTGGTTAAGGTTTCCTTGCAGTGGGACGTGGGTTTGGCAACGTGTGATTACTTCTCTATTATTACTCATCCAAGTACCACCTAGATATATTAGAAGCACCAAGCAGGCATGCACAGTAAAGGTTTTTAGAAAGAGGGTTGGAGTTTGAGGTATTCTCACAGTGCTAAAAATGGACAGGAGAAATGAGACGTACTGGCTAATTATACACTTGCGATCGGGGTTGTTTTTTTTTTCTTTTTTCTAGAATTAGTATTTGAATTACCTGCTCTGTTCAGGAATGTAAATCACTGCTGTGGCCTTTTGCATTCTAATTTAAAATCTTTTCCCTTGATTCTCAAGATAAGCTTTTTTTTTTCCCCTCATTTTTTTCTAGCTGAAGAAAGATGATGGAAGAGAGTGGAATAGAGACAACCCCACCTGGCACCCCCCCACCAAGCACAGCAGGGGCTCCTGCCGCTGCCACTGCCACACCTGTGTCACCAGGTACAGAAACTTCCTCAACAACGTCATCACATTTGTTCATGTCTTTTGAAGAACAGTAAACCACTCCAAAATGCTGCAATCAGCATAATTACAGTGCTCTTCTCCAGACTAATTGAGAGTATATAAATTGCTTCTTCATCACAGAATTGTGCTTCTTATCTGACATGCATCAGACATGCAAAATATTTTAAACAATTTTTATTCTTAAAACTTTTTAGTGAAGCTGTGTGTTTTTTAAGGGTGTGGGGCCAGGGAAGTAATCCCTCCTACTACATCACACAGTTAAATGAGCAGCACAGAAGGGAATTAAAAACAAAATAGATTTTCAGTGTTGTAGGGATAGTGGTAAAACTGGATAACTACTTGGGTTTAGATATTATGGGTGGTAAACAAAGGACTTTATCTGGTTTTGTTTTCTTTTTCCCGAGACTATGAACACCAAATACTTATTCTGCTGACGCATCTGATGTTATCTTGATTCACACTAGTGCAGTGGACTCCAAAGTGGGGTGCTGTTACCCCAGGGAGTGCACAAGGCAATACATCGAGGAATGAGAAAAAAAATGAGAACTGCCATTAATATTAAAAAATAAGGAAAAAATAGGCTTTACTAATATTTAATACACTGCCTGACACTGCTGTCCTCACTCAGTTGGCCCATATGTCAGATATTCACATGGCCTGAGGGAAGAGTGGATGGATGTTCCAGGGTGCAGAGCGCTTGGCAGTGGCACCCTAACTCGTTTGCACTCTTTCATTGTATTGTGACTCCTTGCAGTTTGTGTGCCTGCTTAAGGCGATATATGGTTTACATTTTCTAGTTCTAAGCATACTAACCCTCACAGAATTGACAAGTGACTTGAAGATAATTCCTGCAAAGATACCGTGGGTTGAAAATACCGCTAATACTACAAGCACAAGCAAACAAGAAAATGAAATGGCTGACACTTCCTTGAATCCTTGTATGACAACTTTGCCATTGTTTTAACCTTGTGGTATGGCTAATACTCTAATCAGATCTCACAGAAGTTGGCCAAAAGATTTTCCAGAGGACTGTTTGAAATGTAAATGTACATCTACTGTTGTTAATAATGGACCTTGCCCTAAGTATATATTGTGCCCTGAGGTATTAGCTAAGGCTAGTATGAAGTCACTATGATTAGCAAGACATCTGAGAATGAAGCAGGAAAAGAAAACAAACTTCTGCAATTTTTATTTTGTAGTCTTTCAAGTCACACCATACTCAATCCAGTACTTAAAGCTGAGCAATTTAATGATAAATCGTTAGAGGCCTTACTAGAGATTTTTTACCTAATAGTGAAGACAAAAAGCTGTGTACATTGGGGAAGCTCCTGTTCTTCCTGACGTGGTAAAAATGTCTGGAATAATATGCAGCTGGCAGTACAGTGACTAAAACACGTTTGTCAGCAAATACTGTCGGAAGATGCATAGAAAATTTTGCTGAAGATTTGAAGAAACAAGTATTAGAGCAAATTACATAGTGTGGGAGGTTTGCTGTACAGTTCCATGAAAATACAGGTGTTCCCAACATGTCTCAGCATACGGTTTTTGCCAAATTCTTTTGTCACATGCTAAAGGAACGTTATTCTGCAAAAGCTATATTCTCAACAGTAAACGACTTTTTTAATAAAGGCAGTGTTTTATTAAAAATGTGTAAGTGTAACCACTGATGGATCAGTTACTTTGGGATAAAAATGGGTTCTGGAATGAGGTTATAGAGATACCACCACATATGGAATTTATTTGCTGCCTCCTTCATAGGCAGACTGTTGCAGCAAAGAAGCTGGAGCCAGAAGTGGAGAAAGTGCTACAGGATGTCATTGATGTGGTTTATTTTATAGAAATGGTCTTTAGTAGGTTTTAACAGTACTTGATAATGAGATAGGGATCAACCATGAAACTTTCTTCTATTGCACAGGGATTTGCTGTTTGTCACGTGGCAATATGTTTATAAGAGCTGTTGAACTTAAAGAAGACATGAACATGTTTCTTTTACAAAAAGATAAATCTCCCAGATTTGCTGATGTTCTGTGATGATGTGGCTGTCAGCAGTGTGATATTTACTAGATATTTTTTTTAAAAAATGCACTCATAATTTGTCTCTTCACGGTAAATGTGATGTTTTAACAAGGAGTTACTACTTTTTGTAAGAAAATAATACTTTTGGAAGAGACAAATTGATATTAGGACATGCTTCTGTTGTTATGCAATCCTGTTGCCAAAAACAATGCAAGTGTCCCATATAAAAACTGCCAGACTTGCCACAAGAATTCCTTGGCCTCAGTAAAAAACTCCCAAATGATGAGTTTCAGGGTGTTTTTAATGCATTTGTTAAAAATACCAACGTGTGGCACCTTCTGGTTTGTTTACAAGAGCAACTGACATCAAGGAAGATGGGAGTTTTGCTAGCTGAATTTCAGGAAGAACCTTTGCATAATGGGTGAGCAGGAGCGGACGACCAAGAGCGTGATTCAGTAAGCGCAGCCAAGAGTGCACTTCTTCCACTTGAACCTGTGTACTTTCGTGAGGTGTAGTTTCCAGCTATGGCAGCTGTTGAAGTCAAGTATCGAAATGTCTGAACATAGAACCAGACCTTCAGATTGCTGTACCTTCAAGTTGTTAAACCGAGATTTAAAAAATAGTCATGCTTCTTCAGCCACATTGCTCACACTAAAAGAATTACTATTAATGATTAGATGGTGTGTTAACCATTAGCATACTATGTTGTTTTATCAGCAGTATATTAATAAAACTGTTTTTAGTGAGAGCAGAAAAGTTTTTGTATTGTTAACAAATTATTGTTAATTTTTAAAATTCATCATTCTCATCCTTTGAAAATTTCTATTGTGTATGTTTTAAAGTGCACAATAATATACTGGTAGAGTTTTAAATTTGTTTGTAAATAAATACATTTGTGTATGTTGGGGGGGCTTCATGCTCAAAAATCTTTTACTAAGAGATGTGCCTGACAAAGTTGGGAGACCAGTGCATTAGTACAACTTGGCATATTGTATGACTGTCATTGATGTTTAGGCTGAAGTCTTTGGGATGCTTGAGCTAATCCAACAGCTTACTGCTATCAAAAATGGTAATTCCTGTTTTTCTAGCTTAGTCTTCTGTGTAAACTTGGTTTAGAGACCAAAATTATCCCAAAGATATCCCAGCTTATCCCAAAGATCAGCTGAGGGCCAGAGAAAGCAGAGGGATTAGGAGGCTGAGTGCTGGGGAAGAGAGGGCTGCCTGGCGCTCACTCAGCCTGTCTCATCAACCCATACCTCTGAAGTAATTCCCACCCTCCCTGGTATTATGAATGTATGTTTTATTCTTAAAGACGGGCACTTCCTGCATCATCATTGTTCCTGTTGATTGAGTAGTCACTCAAAAAGAACAAAATTTCTGATGCAGACTACAGCTGCTATAAATTTAGTATTGAAATGTTAACTCGTGTTTTTAAATTTATGAGGAATGGAATCGTGCTAGAAAAAGAGATGCGGTTTACAAGGTACTGTCACCAAAAATTGAGTGCCATTTAAGTTATATGCAAATTCAAGAAGTAAAATTCACTTTGAAGGGAAAAAGGCAGACTTCGTCAAAACTTATTTGCATAATATCTGAACGATTACATAACTGAATCTCAGAGGTTGTCTCAGAATTTCTGAAATTCCTTTTTTTCTCATTTTTCGTAGGTGTGTCCAGTCCCCTTGCTACACTAAGCATGTCGGCTTCTCCCACATATTCGCCACCTTTGCCAGCTGGAGTGTCTCCACTTCCTTCTATGATGACTTCAGCTTCTCTTCCAGTTGTGCCTTCTGCAACAGTTTCTACTATTGCAGCACCTCTAGCTCCTGCCCCGCCTCCTGTTCCCCCTTCAGCTTTTAGTACCTCCATGTCCCAGTTCTCTACACCTCCTCCATTAAGCTCTGTTACTGCCCCTAGTCTTCCAGCACCTCCCACTGGTCCCCCCATTTCAGGATTTTCCGTGTCTTCAACCTATGACATTACCAGAGGCCATGCTGGTCGAGCACCACAAAGCCCACTGATGCCATCATTTTCTGCACCTCCAGTCACAGGTAACTTTTTGTTTATACACTTTTGTGTTTATGAGACAGGATGAGGGATCTCCTGGATGGCTTTTTCCACCACTACGCAGAGTTCTGCAAGTTCAGCTTCTTTATTGTTCCAGGTACACGTAATGTAGCTACCATCAGAAGAAGGGAGAACAGCTTTTAAAACACAGTCATGTCTAGGGTAGAGAATCCTTTTCTGTGGAGTTCTGCTAGCATTCAGGCTCACGGCAAAATCTTTGTTTGAGAACTTTTTTTTTTGTCAGCCTGTGCAGGAAAGCCCAGCTGGACAGATATGTTTTGGTTAGATCAGAGAGTCAACTTCAGCCATTTTATTTCCACGGAATGATACAGTATCTCATGCTACAGTCTTGTAATTTTCATGTCTTTCTTCTGAAGAGGACAAGAAGCTTTCCATGACATTGGCTTCTATTTTCTGTTTTCCAGACACTAAATGGTGTCAGCACAGATGAAAATACTTTCCATGCAAGCAATTGCTGCAGTTGCTGAACTGGTGTCATTCTCTGTTAGTAGAATGGAAACTTGGCTGTTCAGATGCAATTGGGACAGGCTTTTACTATTATTAGTGATGTGTCTTTTAAGTAGTCTGTATTAGGAGAATGTCTAAAAAGACCTATCAGTTGTGCAGTGTAAAATAAAAATAACTTTTGACTAAGGCTAGTCTTGGAAAATCTGTTTAAAATAGGCTTGAGTAATGGGGCAAAGGCTGATGTTTAAATTTTCTGCGGTTTGAGTGTCTTTTGTTTTTCATTATTTTGCTTGCTCCTTTGTGTATTGCTACTAATGTCCAGCACATAGAAAATTTCATGCTTCTCTCTTACTGTGTATGAGAACATTCATCTATTTGTTCAGAGAGCAACACCCATTCCTCTTCCTCCTCTGCTGAGGGCTTATTGTAAAAATCTGAATACAACAAAAAGCATGACTGTTAAACTAACCTGCTAAGAAAAAAATAATTGTTTAATTTTGTACGTAACATACAGGCACTCTCGGTTCTTTTAGCAGATATTGTTGAATTCATTTACCATAGTTATATTTGCTAACCTTTAACAAGTAGAATTGTTCTGGGGCCTTCAAGAAATGAAGTGAATCGGCCCAGTATTCTTCTGTTTTTCCTGCTTATTCTCTTGTTAAACAATTGCATGTTGCTACAGTGTAACAAATCAAATACAGTATAATACTTGAAAGCTTGTGGTTTATTTTCCCCTCTCACTAGGTGTTTTGACAGATCCGATTACTCAACAAGCAACTTTCTCATCACCTTTGGCTCCTGGAACTGGTTCTGCAATCACTTTTCCTGAGGAGTGTGAAGACCCCAGAGTATCTCCTGCCCAAGGTGGAGCACCTGCTGGAGGACTGTGGGGGTTTATAAAGGTATGGGCTTTTGTCTGTTACCCTTCATGAGGAATTACCCTTTTATACTGACTGTAATTAGACATTTCTTATTTTTCAAACACGCGTTGCTGTAAATCATCCTCCTTGCGGCCTCATGTGCAAGGTGGATGTTTTATTAGTGGGGTTTGCTAAAGCTGTGCTTTTGCTCTTCCTCTATATAGAAGAAGGAAGACTACACAAATGCAGGTGTTCTAGGTTAATTTTGGTGCTTTTGACAAGAAGATATACATACCTACTGGGTTCTGCCACATGTTCTCAAATCATCAGCTGAAGCTTTAGAACTTCTTTAAGACCTGAAAGCTAGTTTTTACTTTACAGTGACTGGATGCAGAAGAAGGTGTCTCTTTTACTTCACCAGAATTCTTTGCATATCCTGTTTCTTTGTAATTTCATAATGAACAGTTTAATATTTGTACTTGCACCAAAGGACAGTTTACCTAAGAAGTGTCTGAGATATTTGTAGGATGTTTCTGTTCTGCTAGAAGTCATGGAGTATATGGTGCAGAACAGATGCTCCTCGTAATGTGATCTGATCATACAGAGGAAATAAGCAGCAGTATCAGCTATTAGACTTCCATTGGGTTGTAATCTTCTTGGAGTTGTGACAACTCCAACATATAAGTAGCATGTTGAAGACTGTGGCAAAGAGATCTAAGGACTGTGCATGGATGCTGAACCATCTTCAAGAGCAACACCGTTTTCTGTACTGTCTCATACTAAATGTGAAGGAAAATTCAGGAAAGTCTGCGTCCCAGTGGAACAGCTGAGTTTTGGAGGGACTTCGAAGTCCTTTTGAACATGAAAAGCTTGGAGAGTAATTTGTATGTGAAATGGCAGACGGAGCCTTCTCATACCCCAGAAATACAAAACTTGACAGTGATATTAATCCTCTGTCAGTACGGTGAGAGCAGAGTTGTCCTGCTGCCCTTTTCAAGGAGAGATGTCTTCTCAAGGTCATAAAAACACATCTTTCTTCCTTTAAAAGCTCACGTTATTCTCTTGGTCATCATATTCCTCCTAATTATTTTCAATAGATGGTAAAGTTCCAGAGGAGGACATTTTTCTTGTAAGCAGATTCTGTCGCCCTTTTGAAAACACCAGCACTTAAAATTGCAAATTAGTTGAAAAGCTGATCTTATCCACATTACTGTTGCCTTTATACTAGTTGGATCCAAAAGGTGTCCTGTTTCTATTTATGGAGGAGGCCTGTATCATTGACTTCAATAATAAAGTCTAGATTTTGGTTGAAGTAGGAAGTGTGCGGTGTGCTTTGTGTGTTTGGTGACCTCTTTGAGAATTTCCTAGGTGAATGAATGAGGAATCATTATTTTTACTGAAGCCATCTTGATGTGTGTAAGCACAAATCAGACTCTGTGTTTCTTAAAGAACAGCCAGAATCTGGGAGACTAACTGGTAATTAGTACATAAATGCATCCTGGATTCCCTGTTGAAGAGCTTACACCGTACTTGCAGCAGTTACTTTTATTTCTGTTCTTGAAGTCGTTTGAGCTACCCTTTTCCCTCAGGTGTTCTTAAGAAATCATATACCTTTCGTCCAGATTCCCTTGAAGCTAGATAATATTCAAGACTGTAACAAACAAAAATTGACAAATTAATGGTCTGGAATCAAATGAGACTGTCTCAGTTCCTTTGATCTGTCAAAGATGACTGGGCAGTCTCATAGCGGTTCCAAGACTGGTTTCGACATAATACATCAGAGGCCAGGTTGGATGCCACTGCAGTTGTTGCACCGGTCAGCTTGCATATCTGACTCTTTGAGCAGGGAAGACAGCCAGAAGCTGAATTTTCAAAAGGTTTGTGTTTGTGCTCTGCCAGCATGGAAGGTTATGCACTTGAGCAGCTTCAATTTATGTGGACATAGAACTGACTCAGTAGAAATTCCAAATTAAAGTCCATTCTAGTTCACAGCATTGTGATGAATGTCGTGTTTTGCACAGTTATAGAACTATGGATTATTTCTCCCTGCTTGTGCTAGGCTGATGGATGTAAAGGCATCTTTCACAGGCAGAATAGGCAGCATATTGCTGCTCAGAAACCTGATTATCTGCAGGAGATGTATAATGAGTTAGGCAGCCAGGCTGCTGATTAAAGCACTGCTTGGCTTTGCAGTACTGCAAAGATGCTGGAACTGGGAATTTCTACTTAAAAAGTTTCTGAAGATGTGGTAGTATTCACTCAGTTCTTGTTAAAGCAACAGACAAACTTCAGATTGTGAGAGAGATGAGAGAATATAAACTTCACTGTTCTTGATGGCATCCTGGGGGTACATGAGTAGTCACAAGAGTGTATTACTCAGTGAATGCAACCATTCAGAAAAGTCTTGTGTTATATTACTGAGAAACAAGTGGCAACAGTGGCTCTGGCTTGAAAAGCTTAATTGTTTGAGAGTAATTGTGTTGTTGTCTTTACTGCATTCTGCAGTCTGGCTTAATGTTCTGCACAGTGATGAGAAGAGAACCCAGTAGTGAGCTATTTTACCATGAGGCTTGGGTTAAGATGGTTAACTAGTAGCTCTACAATACCTCAGTAGTTGTAGAAGTGTGTGCTGCTGGTGTTGTTGTTGTTTGTTAAGCTTGCTACAAAGAAACAGAAAGCATTCAGAGGTTGGATGGGGCTTTGAGCAACCTGGTCTAGTGGAAGGTCTCTGCCCATTGCAGGGAGGTTGGAACTAGATCTTTTAAAGCCCTTTGCAACCCAAACCATCCTGCGTTCTATGGGAAAGAAGCTTTGCAGAGCAAAAGTTATCCTGAGACAATTAAAAATATTCTGATTCTGCAGTTCTCTGAAATACTGTGCAGGTGTATTAAGAAAGCATTTTCCAGAAAGCTGCATGTGCACAGTGCTGTCTTGTGTAAGGTGTGTCACAGAGCAAAGCAGTTGTAAGTGTGTGCAGTTTTAGTATTAGACTGAAAGCAGTCAATTTGCTACAGAAATTTTATATAAGATTTCCGCAAAATAGTTTCCAGTGAGATAGTTTCTGTCAGTGGTTCAGCATTAGTTCAGCACTGGTATCTTTTTTCTCTCACCCTGTGATCATGTCTGAATTTAAAAACACTTTTGACAAGAGACAGACTTTCATTAAGACTATTTGTGAGACACAAGACAGTGTTTTTATATTTCATGAAATTCTAGGTCCGTCAGCAGCTCCACCTAAAGTTTGGCTGGAGAATGTAGAAGACTTCAGGAGATGTTTAGAATCTGCTTATAAAATGAGGACTTTCAGCTCAGCTGCTCTAGAAATATTTGTTACCAATGGGCCATTCAAAAATAGATCCTATTGTCTTATTTAAATTAGAAAAATTTTAGAAAAGAGAGACTCTTCATCTTGAGCTGTCACTGTCTAAGTCTAGCTAACTAGTCTGATGGTACCTATAATCAGCATTGGGAATATACAACTTTCCTAAATACTCAAGGCTGCCAGTCCCAGAACAGGACTAGATCAATTGTGTCACAGTCACTGATGGAGCTGTTTCTCCATCAGTGCAGAAGAGGATGGTGAAGATGATACGTGGAATTTTGTTCTGGATGTAAAGTGTACACTGTAGCATTTGTGCTGAGAAGCGAGATACTATTAATAAGTGTTACAAAGAGTAAATGTAAGAAAAACACAAAGCAGCTAATATTTGGTTTTTTGTTTGTTTTTTTAATTACAACATTTTTAGATTCTTGGGGAAAATCCAGAAGATAATATGGAAATCTGTTTGCTTATATTTAGGGTGTAGCTGAGAATCCCATGGTGAAGTCTGTTCTTGATAAAACCAAACATTCAGTGGAAACCATGATCACAACACTGGATCCTGGCATGGTTCCATATATCAGTAAGTATTTGTAGCAATCCATGAAGTAGTACATGTAAATGTTGGAGGGGTTAATACACTAGCAAGTGCACTACATTTACACTTGAAGTTTGTATATGCAGCCTGTTAGTTCAAAGTCAGAATTACTTGTAGTGATTTCTCAAGTTTATTGTCTAGTGAAATTCTCACTCTGGAGGCTGTTTTTTTATGTATGTCTTGAGGTTTATTTTGCTTCTGTATTCTGCTGTAGTTCAGGTAGTGGCATGCTAATAACTCTTTAATTGAAACCGTGAAGGATGAAGAAGTTATAAAGGGAAAAAAGTCAACAAGGAAACCTTGTTTATAATCCTTAAGTTCCATACTCTTTTCTCCCATTGTCTCTCTATTTAAGCGTTACAGAGTTTGAAATATACTTAAATCTGTTCTGCTGGATAATCTGTTTAAATACTGCTACGTAAGCTATCACATTAAATTTAAAACAAGCCGAAGTGTAAGCATACTCAGAGATGTTAACATAGATTTTGAGGCTTTCAGCTGTTTCATTTTTCTAGCCTGATCATATTTATACTATTTTTAGGAAATTGGGCAAACTTGAAGCAATTCCTCAGTCAGTTAATAGGAACATTAAAATTCTAAAATGACCTAATGAAGTCTGAAGTATTGCTGAGCATTAAGCCTGGAAGGAAAAGTGTGGCATTTCAATTATGGCTTGAAAATTAATAGGAAGGAGAAGCATAGTGGTATTCACTGGTTTTTATTTTACCAGAGAACAGAACATGTCACATAACTAACATGTTTTAAAATGGGCAAGCAAAAGATGTCATTTATCTAGGGTGGTCAGTTGGTGGCTCGCTTGTTTCTTTGGTTGTTTTGGTTTCTTTTAAGGCAGAGAGGAAACTAATAAGATGTTACTGCATTTTGTTTTCCTAAGCTGTTTTTCGGATAGACCTATTTTGTGATCCGGCTAACCATGTTGCTGCACTATTGTACTAATCCAGTGGACAATATGTGGAATGAAAGGGGAAGATGACCTAGTTATTGAGTAGTAGTCATTGTCTTGCATGTAAAGGGAGGTAGCCCAGCAGCTGACCAGTGAAGAGATGGGGATATGCAAAGTCAGTGAGAAGGCCAGTCAAGCAACTGAGAAAGCACTTGAGAGGAGTAACAGGACGCAATGCAAAGCTAGAGTAAATGTTGATTATAGATAATTTGGCATACTGTATTTAAGGTTTCTATTGCAGGCGTGACCATCCCTTTTTAAAATAGGTTCTGTTTGTTTCCAGTGATGGTGTGGATAGTCTGATAGAGTATTTGTTGAACAGAGCAACATTACTCAGAGAAGGAAGTAATGCTAATAAAATGCTTTGCTTGTAAGATTCAGTCAAGAGTTAGTGGTTATCTCAAAGTTTTCTAAAGTTGTATACAGAGGGTTTCCCTTCCAATACATCTTCACCATCCATAAACTGCCTTTCTTTTGTAGTTGCAGATTGTGGAAATAGAGCAGAGATTTGTAAACATAGTATTTACTTTCTTCTGGGAAAATTTTCTAGTATCAACAAAAGCCATGTCCTTGAGAAGAAGTAACCTCACGATGGAGGTGTTTGAAATTGTGTGTGTGAGCAAATAATGTTTCTGTTACCTTTTTCTTGAAAAGAGCTACACTGGTTTCATTGACACATTGTGAAGATGTCATTTGTGGCAAGTACTTGGAATAGAAAATTCCTGTCTGCACAGGCAGTGGTAACCCTATAAGCATAAACATCAACGCTTTTGTAACAAAAGATGACAGAATCTTGAATTTTATGTGAAGTTGTCATGTCAGTTTAATAGTACACAAGATACGATGAAATTTCATGTCCAAGTGTCAGAGCTTAACTTATTGTGACAGTTCTGTCTGAATAAATCAGATTATGTCTAATTCTTATATTTTAGATTTTAATACTTTGTGTTACTATACTGCATGACTGTTCTTGTCACAAATTATTTCTTTTAATGCATTTAATATCTTTGTCTCCCTTCTATAGTATATAGGATGAACTTTAGTATATGTATTACGTTTTTGATACATGATTATTCCTGATATAAAAGAACATAATCTGTATTCTGCTGTTGCAATACAGAAGCATGGGACATGTTTATCATTCTTAAATTACTATGCAGTAATTTACTAGGTACATTATGGGTTAGTTTTTAATTGCATTAAAAACTCTTCTACAGTTTTTCTGTCACTGGACACTTAGTCAACGCTATCTTCGCCAAAAGCCTCCAGTCAATTTTAAGCACTTGCTAACCTGATGTCTGTCAAGAAGGAATCAGTGAGATGAGATATTCTTAATAACTTTTTAGTCCTTTTGTTACTCTGTATAAAAAAAAAATTGCCCAAAGTTCAGTGAAATGTATACCCAATTCCATTCAGTAGAGTAACTAATAAAAAGTTTTAAAATAGTCTAAAATCCAAATAGAATGTTTTACTACTGTTCCAGCATATCTCTGGCAATTCTTCCTAAAAAGATGTTTCCTGTAGTTGATGTCTGCTAAGTAGTAGGAGCCAAAGAATAATTATTTATTTTCTTTAAAATTCAATCCTTAGGTTTATTGTCAATGGAGGAATTTTTCTTACATCAGGATAAATACTGCAGACTTTGTCAGCATGTGTAATTAGGTGGAGTGTTAGTGTTCAGAATTAAAGCCTCTGGGCTCTGTTTTTCTTTTAAGAGGAACCTTAACATGTTTTCATACAGTCAGTAGGCCTGGAAAATGGCAGGTGAAAAGGGTGTTTCTTCCCTAGTTTGCTGGTGTTGTCATAAGAAATGCCCTGCTGGATCACAGAATGACAAAGTGGTGTAGGTTGGAAGGGATGTCTGGAGGTCATCTTATCCAACCCCCCATCCTTCAGCAGGTCCACCTTGAGACAGTTGCCCAGGGCTGTGTCCAGGCAGCTTTTGGATATCCCCAAGGATGGAGACTCCACCACCTCTCTGGGCAACCCGTGCAGTGCTAAGTCACCCTCACAGTAAAAAGTTTTTTTTCCTGGATGTTCGTATGGAACCTGCTGTGCTGCAGTTTGTGACTACTGTCTCTGGTCCTGTCAGTGGGAACCACTGGAGGGAACCTGGCTCCATCCTCTTTGCAGCTTCCCTTCAAATATTTGTACACATCAGTAAGATCCCTCTGAGCATTTTCTTTAGGCTGGACATTCCCAGGTCTGTCAGGCATTCCTCATAGAAAAGATACTCCAGTCCAGTGGTTCATCCAGCTCAATATTGTGTCTTCAGCAGAACCAACAGGAGCTACTATATGGTGAATGACAGTAGAGCTGCTGAGTTCTGTAGTTCTTACCCCTTGTACTCCTTCACCATCCACAGCTGTTGGACTAGGGGTGACAAGATCCATGTCCATACCCTGTTACCTCTAGTGCCAGTTTGTGGACCTGTCCATTAATTTGTCCTTTACACTTGCTGATGCAATTTAATTACACAGCTTTCTCTGCATAAGTCGTATTGTGTGTTTGAAAAAAGTTTGAGCTGCTCTTAAGAAAGCTTGTCACAGCAGGGACAAGTTTTATCAGTTGTTTTTGCATAAATTAAATTTGGCAATAAAAATGATGCAGCTGTTTTAAAGACAGGTAATTGAGCTCATTGATATTTAATAGTAGATTAGTTTTTATAAACTACTGGTTTTTATTCTAAAAAAGATTAGTGAAAAATCATCCTTCTTATACTGCCATATGGAAATCATTCAGGAATACAACTTTTGGCTTCATAGATATTTAATACCTAAAAACAGGATAAAGCAGTAGGGAGGCAGACAGGCAATAAAATGACACTGAAATTCACAGTCAAAGGACAACTAGAAAGTAACATGAGCCTTTCTTTTAAAGCTTCTGTAGTTTGACAGCTGTTCACGGGATTTTATGAACTGCATAAAATAAAAAAATAGTAAAAAGTAAAATAAGAAACATGATCCCTTTAATAAGGAAGACCTGTGTCACACCAGCATTTCTTACCACTTCCCAAAACACCAATGCATCTTTAGAAATGGATGTCTGAGTTAGATATCTTCTAAATCCAGGAGCTGTCATCTTAAATGAGCTGTATACTTTTTTCACATGCTGAAAACCCACCAGTTCTGTTGCCTGTTATTCATCTATTAATTGTTTAGCTGTTCATCTGACTTGTAACTTATTACTTCTGCTTCAAGAAAGAACTTTTTTATGGTGCATGAGCAAGAGAAAACCAACTAAAGCATACTCTTAAGTAGAATGTATTTGAACTAGCTTGTAGTGGGAATGAGGAAAATATGCTTTTATATTTTACAGAAACTGGGGGAGAACTGGACATAGTGGTTACTTCTAATAAGGAGGTAAAAGTTGCGGCAGTTCGAGATGCCTTTCAAGAAGTTTTTGGAATGGCTGTTGTTACTGGAGAGGCTGCACAGTCTAACATCGCACCCCAACCTATAGGCTATGCTGCAGGTTTGAAGGTAAGTTGATGTGTAACAGCACGAAATATCTCCAATGTGAAAACAGGGTGTAGAAACTTTCACACAGAAGAATCTGCTTTTCTGTAAAGGGGAAGTAAATTTCTGGATAGGTAAACATTTCCTTTTTTTTAGTTGCCCTCTGGGTCATTAGTTTAAAACTGCTTGTTGAAACAGTTTTGGGGTTTTTTTTTGCAAACACATTCACTGCATATGAGGAATATTTATGTCAGTTTTCTTATGCTGTCACAAATTGCCATCACATCTAGTATACCTTGTGATGCTACTGTAGTTTCAAAGTGTATCAGGCATTTCTCCTTAGTCTATTACTAGCACACCATGTTGGGAACATTAGAAATGAGAAGGGACTCTCTGAGACTGACCTGTCTCCCCACCGATGCTGCATATGAAAGATAGATCGATCAACACTTGTCAGGTATCTTCCTTAACAAATATATGTTAAGTTTAAAAAATACGAATGCACTGTGAAGCTTTGCAAACAGCTGTGCTGTCAAAGAGGAAGGGGTAGCAGAGGTTGTTTCACCTGATTTTAAAAATGTACATGGTTACCAGATGCATCTAGGTGCAACCACATCCTTGGCCAATAACTAAAAGCACCTATTTGATATTCTGTTTCTTAAATGTAAGCGAGTAATTTACTCATTAAAAGGCAAGTATTTTCTCCTAACTGCTATGGTAAAACCTATCCTCATAGCAATCCTCAGCTGATACAATTTTATATTGAGATAAATGAGGATAATGTAAATAATGTCTTGAAATAAAGGAGGATAATTCCTTTACACGTTTAGCTGCTGCAGTGTAGTAGTAGTGGTATTTCTACTACAAGTAAGAGTGATAGCAGGTTTGGAGCAAATGATTTCTACATCTTAGCTGGATAAGTACCAAAACAAAGGGATTCTCTCCCTTGGTCAGTGTAACAGAAATATATACGAATGCTCTAATTGTGAAACTTGGCACAGTTACAGGTTAGGAATTCTTTGCATGCTGATCTAGGTCTTTTTCATGGAAAAATAAACTTAATTAATGTTATCATAATTTCTATTACTGTTTGAGATTCCGTTGTAACTTTTCATGAACTTTGTTTTTTGTTTTTCTCATGTTGAAATAAGTCACCTTTCAAAATCTCTAATATGTTCTGTTTACCTTGAAAGCCGTTCTCTAGAGCTCTTTTTGCATTCAGCTGTGAGCATTGTACTGTGTTGTGATTCAAAGAGAATGTTCTCTAACAGCTTGTGCTACCACTTAGGGAGCCCAAGAAAGGATAGACAGCTTGCGTCGGACAGGAGTCATACATGAGAAGCAGCCTGCTGTGTCAGTGGAAAGCTTCATTGAGGAGTTGCTTCCTGACAAGTGAGAACTTCAAATATATTCCTGGGGCCAGGGGGTGGGAAAGGAGTACTCGTCATTGCCTCAAAGGGGCCTATAGAGGGTTGCTGGCAGTATCACTGAGCAAAAGAAAGGAGAGAGTCTGTCTCCAGTGTAGTTCGAGCAGACTTGATTTTGGTGATGGTGTTCACCGTTTTGTCCAGACATCTTGAGGCTTTAATATACAAAATCCTTGTCGAGTTTTTCCAGGTTCACAGTATAAAACCACAGTGAAGTTATACTGAACTGACAAAATGAAGGAGCTGTAAAGGTTGGAATTTGGCGAGTAGTTTGCTCACTCTTGTGTGTGCACTCTCTCCGAAATTGTGTTCAGTTCAGAAAGTATACTGGGAGATGTTCTGACATTTGTAGTAAAATTATTTTATCAGATGATATATTATCCATTTTCTTTTCACTGAGAATGTAGTTACAACTTATAATTTGTAGTGCACAGACCTAACAGTGCTATTCTCAAACACAGTAACGTACTTTTTGACAAACGGATCTTGAAGTAGCTTTATAATTAATTATTTAAATTATATTTATTTAAA